TGCAATCAAAAATGGTTAATATAACAGAGTTAATACCACGTGTTTATGTTTGGTTGATATTTTTAGTATTAATTGTTAGAGCCACCTCTCTGTCACTTGATGTCTCTTCTTCATCTGTGAAGAATGTTTACAAGGATCACTGGAGAATAAAAGCTTATTGTTTTTTGAATATATCAACCTTTTAAAATAGTTATTTAAATCTAAACATATTTTTTTGATTGTAAGAATTTTTTTTTTGATAAAATGATTTTCTGATAAAAAGTTCCTTTTTCCAGCTATGACTTTTAATCCATAGCTGGGAGAAATAAATCATACCTTTCTCAAAGCTATTTTCACATAAGTAAAAATAACAAACCAGACTGGAATTTGAACTTGGTTCTCTGATTCCCAATTCTGATCCTTTATCCATTACACTACTCAGACATCCAAACTTACAGCACCTGGTGTTTCCCAAGAACCCCTGATATAAAATGTGATGACTTTTACAATGATTTCAGTTTATATCAATGGTTTTCTTTTTTTTTTCAGTGCCCCTTTTCAAATATTTGTGCAGGTTGATGCCTCCCTATGTTACACTTACACTGGTAAGTGGAACAGAGTTAATACAAGAGCTTATTTGTTTTTTACAATGATATTCATTCTGTAAATGGCTCAAGAGCCACCCAAAGAAAGTGGGTTACAGAGTAAGATGTACATTTTATCAGGATATGTGTCAGAGATAACAGTTGACCTTAGGCTTGAACAAGTTTTGATTAGTGATCAAGGAAAATCCTCTTGGAATAAGTTTCACTTCAAGTGGTTTTTTTATTATACCTCCAGTGGAACTTGCACTTCAGCAATAAAAATACAAGGGGAATGAGAGTGGTCTGCTGAAATGTGTGTGGCATAGTGGGTTTTAGCCTTGGAGGTTAGAATTGGTGGAACTAAGGAATGTAGTTCATCTGAAGACTTACCATGGAAATAATGATATAGCAATGAAAGTGATGTGAGAAACAGAATAAAATTTCGTCTGTGAGAAACAGATTAAAAATGTAAATACAGAGTAACCCGGATATAAAAAGAGTTGTTGAGACCGGAAAGAAGTCTCTTATATCCGGGTTTGGTCTATTTTTTTAGGTAAGTATGGAAAACTTTGGGAATTAGAAAATCTCTCTTATATCCGGTTCTCTTATATCCGGGTCTCTTATATCCAGGTTGCACTGTATATAGGGAAAAAGAATACAACTGTTTATATAAAAGGCCTAATTTGGAGTCAAAGGATTAATTCACCTTGTTAAAATCATGGAATACTCACCACCACACCCATAATACTCTTGAAGACTTATTGCTTCCTTGAGAATTCATAACACCCGTAAGGGGACTTTTCCATGCAAACTCATCCTAGAAAGTAACACTTTGATTCTTGGCAGAAGTATCAATTTATACACAATAATCATGTTATTTTTTATGGACATATTTAAAAAAATCACAAGTGAAAACCTAATAATAGTAAGAATTTAAAAAACATTAAAAAGGCCTTGTGGTGTATTTAGAATGTGTGGCCATTCTGCTAATATATTAGCAAAACGTGCAGTCATTTTTGTCAGCATAAGTAAATTAGTTAAATAAGTGAAACAGTAGAATTTCTTTCTGTGAAGATAAAGCGAGTTAATGACACACACACACACACACACAGACATACATATGATAAAATATAGTTTTAAGGTATAATATATTTATGAGCAAAAGTGCTCAATATCAGGGATAGAGCTTATGTAAATATAAAAGTGAATATTGAAGTCAACACCCAGAGACGATAGTCTGTTTCATGCTAAATGCAATTGTTAGGCTTCTGGCTGTTGATATAAGAGTCCACTTATATATATATATATATATATATATATATTAAAATAATAGGAAAGAAAAATCAGAGCTCTTAGCATTTATTTTTAATTATAATTATAATAATATTATTTATATAAATACAAGTAAAAAGTTTGTCACTTAGCTGATTGATGTTATCATCAACATATTTAGAGATTTTAAACTATTAGTAAAACTAAAATCTATAGATCATAATAACACCCAAGTATGTTAGTATGGTGCAAATTTATTTTACTTTCCAAAATTTTCATAAAAGTTTTTACTTTCAAACTTTCCAAAAGTTCACTAATTTTTCTGTTCAAAATAAAATTTTCATTTTTAATTTCTTTTTAAACATTGTTAATTCACCCATTTAAAATTATAAATTATTAATTTAATAATTATAATCAAAATTATGTAATATAAACACAAATTTGTTCTGCCAGGCTCTCTTTTAAGACAATTTTTATTCTTTTGTTTTAATTTATAAAAAAGAAAAATAAATGTATAGACTTCCCACCAATGTCACATTTGATTTCTTCACACAAAAATTGACCTTGTATCACAAATTGTCCTCATGGCAAGGCAGTTAAATTAGAACAACTGGTTTTTATAATAGTTTTAATTCATAAATTCGTTTTTTAGTTTTGGTTATTGGAAAGATTTATTTTTGTTTATGTCGCATACTACGTAAACAAAAATAAATCTTCTTTTCAATAACCAAGACAAAGAAAAGTAAACATTCTTTTTATGAAACTTGAATTTGTTTCTACAAAATTCATGGATTTCTTAAAATTTTACAGCTTTCAAAACAGATTTTCATCTTTATTTACTTAAAAAAAAAAACAAACTTTTATTTGAAGTTTCCTGAAAAAAAAAAAAAAAAAACACAAAAGATTGTATTAAAAAACCTAAAATTTAATTCTTCCAAAAATTGTATTTAATTTTATTTTACTAATATTTTTCTTTGGCATAATTGAACTTTCCTGTGTTAAATTATTATGGCATTTAAAATATTTTTGAACTTTTTTTTTCATTTATTCCTCCTCAGAGCCAAATGAGATGCAAAATTTTATAAGTAAATAGAAGTGTATAAAAAAAAAAAAAAATAAAATTTTATTTTTATCTGGCATGATTAAACTATATTTTTTTCCACTTTTAACATGATTTGTTTTAATATTTTTTAAATAAAACTAGTAAAATTTCATTTTCTAATAATCTAATAAATAACTGAAAAAAAAAAAAAAAAAAAAAATAAAAAAAAAAATACACATTTACAGTTGTTCTCATCCTTATGAAATTTTTTAATCATTTTTTCTTTATTTTTATTTTAATGCTTTTAACAACTGTTGAATCTCATACCTTTATAAAATGATCAAGTTGGATATCAGTGTTATTTAGCTTTCAACTTCCTAATATTTTTTAAAAAATTTATTATAAAGTTTGCTAAAATTGCTTATATCTCTTTAAAAAAAAAAAAAAAAATATGTTTTTTACTGTGTTTTTTTTTTTTTTTTTTTTTTTTTAAAAAAATAAAACACTTTTTTGATTCTTTTTAAAATTATTAAATTTTTTAGTTGTGAGAAATTTATTTTAGACAGTAAAACTTATTAGTGATTTTTTTTTAGATAAGATTGAAGACCCTTTTATTATTTATTTATTAAGTTGCTGTGATAATTTCATATTTAATTCTTATTAAACATCTGTAAGCAAATTTAAAATTTGCATTTATTTTTTTTATTCACTGTCCTGCAGGATTAGGTATTCCTTGTATTTTATCAAAATATATGCATGAGTTAAACCACAATACATAGGATGATGCCTTTCTGCTTAGAGTATTATTGTTGCATATATATATATATATATATATATATATATATATCTCTCTTATTTTTAAAAAATGCTGAAATTAAATTGTCACCCCTAAATTTGTTTCATTCATTGAAAAATGCCACATATAAAATTTTAAGGAGATTGCATAATATTTAAAGGGGCTTTTGTTTGTTAAAACTTAAAAATTGTGAAAAAAAATAAAGACCCTTTTTTATTTTACAATTAATAAAAACCATTATTAGTTGAATTTTTAAAAATTATACATTAGAAAAACTAAAAACATTTTTTATCTAACAGTGAAAAAAAAAAAATTTTAACCAATGTTTATTATTTTCAGACCCCAATTATGGCAAGTGTGTATCAAATGCCAAACAGAAAAGTGTAGTTTGGAATTTTTTTTCTTTCTGATGATAACAAAAAACAATATGTCAATGTAGGTAATGTAATTAAGAAATTTTTTTAAAAGAAATTGTTCTCTTTATTGTTTAAACTCTTACCCAATTTTTTAATAAAAGGATATCTAACTTTATTTCATAAGCTTTTGTATTCATTTTTCTACTAAATGTTTTATTTATAAATGTACTTTTTTCATCAAGTTTGCCAAATCAACCATAGGGCCAGAAAATAATGAATTTTAATCATTATAGGTATCAGAATCAAAAGATTCAGTATCAGGAATTGTATTGGAATTGGTAAAAATATTGGTATCATAAGGTTTTCTGGGGACCTTTTACGTACTGCACCAAGTCTCTGTATTTGGCCCTTCAAAAAAAATGAGGTTGGTTCTGCACAAAGCCTTTTTGCAAAATCATATGTGCTTAAATGATTGTTGGTTCCTAAAACTGAGTTTTCTTGACCCTCATATGTTGAATATGATGAGAGAGTCCATCTATATATATATATATATATATATATATATATATATTTCACTAGAGTTCACACAGTACAATGCTCAGGAGCCATCCTAGATTTAATTACCTTTTTCAAATCTGTTTCCACAAAGTACCAGTTCTTGGGGAAAAGCTGTGAAATTTTCTTCTTATATTTGGAACACAGGGAAATGAGGGTGATTCAACTCAATGGAAGCAGCATAGAATATCTGAGCTGTAAAAGCCTGAAGTAGTGGAACTAAAGATGCAATAAAAATTGAAAATCTCAATTACAATTGGAAAACAGGAAATGTGGATGATTTGATTATGTGGTAGCAGCATTGCGAGTCCTAGCTGTAAAGGTCTGAACTGGTGGAACTAAAAAATGAAGGTCATCTAAACATCACAGATAAATGTACTTTATCAAAGCAGGTAAATAATACTATTTTAAACATTTTAAAACAAATTAGACTTACAAAGTAATTCATAGTTTTCTTGTTGGCTGGGTTTTATTTCAACATTAACAGTCTCTCCAATAGCATTTGTAAATTCACTGCTTTCTTCACCATACAAATTTTCTCCAAGCCCAGGAAACTAAACAAAATAAAAGACAATAAAAACATTGTTTTTATATAAAAGATAAAGAATAAATAGAGAATGTTTATCAATCTAATATGTTTTATTTTTATTAAAGCTTCATCTGATGAAGCTTAAATAAAAGTGAAGCATGTTAGATTGATAAACATTTCTATTTATGTTCTTTATCATATCATTCTGTTGGATTCTGATCCATGTGATCCCAATTCATATATATGATGGAATATGGAACAAATAGGAAATGTTTTTGAATTTAACATGTTTTGCTTTTATTTAAACTTCATCAGAAATTTTTAGAAAGTTCTGGTACTTTTAGTTCTGTGTTATTTGTTTTTCAGTGGTCAGGTAGACTTCAGCGTGTCTTTGTTGTGTGGTGTTAATGTGTGGATTTTTTGTCAGCCTGGTAGTGTCTGTGTATATAATTCTTGAAGATGGTCGTGAGATATTTAAAAATTTAAATGCAATGTCAATTATCTTCTGTTTTTTTAATTCTTGGTCTCATATTGTTCCTTCTCCTTAATAATGTTTCTTTTTCACATATTCTCTCACACTCAGTAACACCTTGCTTCTTAGTGGCTTTATTGCCTTGCTTGGGGTGAAATGATGAAAGAAATAAAAAAATTATTTAAATACTCTATGCAATATCTCTGAAGAATAATTTAATCACAAAGATGAAAATTTGATTGAAATTGTGTATGGCAATGAGTGGTGAAATTATAAAATACTAGCAGCATGGCCCGGCGTTGCCCATGCTTGATTCAAAAATCGTACGACTCATACAGCAATCACTATCACTTGACTTAAAATATTTTTGCCCTTCCTTGCCTTTAAAGGAGTGCCCTTTGTTGTGCTGATGTTGCTACATGCCTTCTTGCCTATCTCACACTGCAAATTTTTTCTAAGCTCTATACTAAACATTAAATCTGTTACGAAAAAAGAACTAAACAAAATGAATACAAAACGATCAGCTTTAAAAAAGGACTCGTAACTGGAAAAACCAAATGAAAAAAGAATGTTAACAAATACTTTTTCACACCAAACCCAGTTCTGTGGAATCAGAATCAACGTTGAGTTTAAGCAAGCAAATGAGCCAATTGGAGTAAAGTGCCATCCAGATTTAAATTTTTCCCACTTGTGACGAATGCAGCTATCGATGTTTTTTTTTGCATGCTAGCATGCTAGTTAACATTCGTTTCAGTAAGCTGTTGGCTCTCACACTGGCCAATAGAATCTTCCTGCCAGTACAAAATGGCCACAAACTACATGAAAACTGCTGTAGAAGCATGAAAAAAATCGATTATTTCCATTATCGATGGGAGTTGGGAAATGCAAAGTTGGTCTTGGCCTTCCCTCTGACTTGGAGCATGTGCATGTAAATTTTGGTGCAAATCCATCAAAAATTGCGGCTGTGCATTCGTTACACACACACACACACACACACACATCCTGCCTTTTATAGATAGAGAAACTGCTCCAGAATTTTGATAAGACATTTTATTAAATGTATCAATGCAAATATGTCACGTAATAAGCAAGTGGTCTTTTCAGATTTTACAGCAGTTGATGTTAATAACTAAGATTGTAATCACCTCAGCCAATTTTTTACCCTTTGAAAACATGTAGATTTATTCAGAGTTGTTCTACCTGTAAAATCAAAGGATACCAAGAATTTTATCTTAATTTAATGTTATGTAGATATAGAAATCTGATGTAATGTCAGGGTGTAACACACATGCTAACTTACTAACAGAGAAACAAACAGAATTATAATAAGATTTCTCATCTTATAAATTCAGAATGTATCTTTTAACATATTTCTCTTTCTGTTTATTATATACACTCATAATAAAAATGATAAAAGTAAGAAAAATAATTGGGTTAATTTAAAAAAACAAACAAAAAAAACTGGTCTCTGTTTTATTTGTAGAGCTAATAAGAATTAGTCTGAAAGTTAAAAAAAAGACTTTGTTTAAAAATAACCAAATATAAAGTTGTTTTAGAAAACAAAATAAATTAGTGTCAACTGACTTTCCTGTCAAGATCATGTCGAACCATTTCCTGGATAAGGACATCAGCAAGGGTTTTGAAGTCTTGGACAAACCGTTCATTTTTCTGGTCCCCGGTTTTTTCCTCTGTGAGAAGCTGAAGTAGCGTGTCTTCTGATCGAATAATGCTAGCAACATTTGCACCTTTTGTAGCAGCACTGATCAGTGCATAAGCTAAGTCAGAAATCTTCATCACTGCAAGAAAAAATAGAATATCAAATTTTAAACAAGTTAAATGAAGCAAATCAGTTCATTGATAAATATCTGTGATAGGTTTAGAGTGTTCAATATCAGGGATAGAGTGTATGTAAATATAAAAGTGTACATTGAGCTCAACAGCAAGAAAATCTATAACAAAGTGGAAAATTTTTTTTGTATGATGTGTTTCATCATTTATAATTTCATTGGACTAAAGTAATGTTTATGTTGGTCTGAATGAGAGGGGACTCTGAAATTAATTTTTTTCTTTTTTAAATATGTGTTTTGGGTCTAAAAAAAAAAAAAATTTAAATTTAAAATTTCAACATCCCCTCCCATTCATGTGCATATGTAATTGCATCAATGCAAATATCACTTTGGTCTGATGAAGTCCTAAAGGATGAAAAAATTTTTCAACTGTCATAGATTTTCCTAAAATTGTTCTTGATATATAAAAATATATTATTTTCCTATATATATATATATATATATGCATGTGTATTTTGGCAGCAATCCTTCTTCTAGGTTTCATTGAAGGTAACTGACAAAGCACTGCAATTAAGCTTTTTATTATATTTTTCTTGCATGTGTACATGAGATTTCATTTTTAAATATAGTGTGTAAGAAGTCTTCTGAATGATCTTTGGATCTGTGCACTTTAAGCTAATCTGTTCACCATTATCAAGGCTATTCTGTTTGTCTTGATATGTAGGTTTTTTTTGGGGCAATAAAAATATTTTTAATTCCAAAACACAGTCACCACATTGTGGCTGTGTTCATGATTAAGAGTTGGTTTCTTATTTTTTATTATTAAACCTTCCATTATTTTTAAAATGTTTTCTCCATAGATGAATGTATTATGTTGGCATCTTTTCCACATTGTGGATGGAGGTTGGTAGGTCTCTGTGTGTATTTAAATGTGTCCTAATGGAGCTATGATATGGGAGGTGCAAAGTATGGGCATGTAGTTGTATGTCCTATTTAATTATTATTATTCATGTATTTGTTTTCATCAGGAACACAATTCCCTAAGACATATATAAATTCATCAATGATGTTGGTCCTCAATAGTTTGGATCTTGTTGGTGACTTGTTACTGATGACGAGGAGTTTGGCTGTTTTTAATTTTTTTATAATAAATAATCAACTTAATTTTTCTGGTCAGCTTGAGTCGTATTTTTCTTAATATTTCTAATGACAAATTTGTCTTGTTCATAATTAACATGCATTTGAATTTTATAGAAAATGTTAATATTATTGTCTTTACTTTATGTTCAATATTACTATTGCTTACTTTAGAGAGAAATAATTTGATTTGATTATTTATAAGGTAGTTCAGGAAACCTATTGATAGCATCTATTTAACATTGCTAAGTTCTTTAAGAATGAGGGAATGAATTCTTGTGCACTCTTGTGAGAAAATCTTTTTTGACTAATATTTTGTATCTGAGTGGACATTCACTAATAATATTAAGATGACAGGAGTTATTACATGTGGGTTTTTACATAAGAAAGTAGTGAATGTACTATTATTGGATTCTATGAGAACATCTTAGAATTGAAGTCTATTCTTTCGCAAGTAAATTTAATAAGGGAGTTTTTTCAAATGTAGTTTGAAAATTTTTTACTTCTTTTTTATTTTCACTTGAAGTAAAAATATCATCTACAGAGCAGACATATTTTAGGTTTTGTAACTTTTTCAAATACTTGTTTTTGACATGAGACATGTAGTAATTAAAGAAGCATGGTACAAGTGGATTTCCCATGCTAACACCATAAGTTTAAGCATAAATATCATCATTATGATCATAGAATGGGACTTTAGTTGTGTTATCACTGTTGACTCATTAAATGAGTATGATCATCACAGACAAATTTAATCAATGTTTTTTGTTCTTGTGTTCTTGTAATGTTTATTGCAGAGTGAGTGCTTTCAGCAGGTTTTCTGACACACCCTTCATGTTATTTCCAATGTAGTAGTGATCATAAATTTTTAAAGATCTACTAATATGTCACTTCTTGTGGCTAATAAGGTCTGCATTGGAAAGACATACTCTGCCGCTTTCATCAGATGTAAATTGATTGTTTGTTGGATCAATGATTTTCCCTTTCCTAACTGCACATTTGACATTTGCCTAACTCATTGCATGTTCTTAGATCTTTGTGCCTTCATGAGTTGTGTACACCACTTTTATTGATCACAAGCATTTTGATTCAGTTTGAGTGCAATCTTCTGGCTTAAAGATTGCACCTCCATGTATCAATCACAAGCAGCAGGATCATCTACAGGGTGCGATGGATAAATTGTCGTCCAAATTATACAAAACTGAAAATAACACTGACATCTCATTTTACCAAAATTACACAAAAATATCTTGAACTACTAAAGAGTAAATCTATTCAATAAAATTGCCATTGGCTTCAACCACAGCCTCCAAACAACTTTAGAATCTCCTGCAACTTTTCTGAAGAGTCTTCTTGTTTAAAATGGTGAATGTTGCCATAATCCTTCCCTTCAGTTCATCTTTGGTGTTACAAGGAGTTTTGTTGGTCTCTCACTCAACTGCACCCCACATATAATAATCAAGGGGGTTGCAGTTTGGGGTATTAGGTGGCCAGATGTAAGGGGGTAATGTGGTTGCAGAAATTGTCTGACAGCCATAACTGTTCTCCTGCATGTATGGCATGATTCAGAGTCCTGTTGCCAGGCATAGGGTCTTCCAGCAGTCACCCTTTTGACCCAGGGCATTACTACCTCCTAAAGGCTAGATGTCGGCCTCTGTGTTGAGTCTGAGGCCTTGTGGGAAGATGAATGGAAGCATAATGTCAGCATCACTAGTGATCACTCCAAACACTTCGTAATCACTATTACTCATCGAACTCTTTCCGAATTGTCTGTACTGTTCTCAGATTGACACCCAAACACTCTGAAATATTTGCATTGGAGCTTCTGGCACAAATGCCAAGCAGTACAGCATGTCGTTTCCAAATTTCTGGTGGAGTGTATTATCTGATGGAGAGCTTTTTTTCACAGACAGTGCCCAACTGACTCTAATATACTATGCATTTAACAAAATCAAAAACAAACAACACACATGCACAAAATTAAAAATATGAAATGGCGACAATTTACCCATCGCACCCTCTATATGGCAAGCTGCAAGTATATATATAAATAATCCTTATATAAGAGGATCTTTGGTTTATGCTGGAGCCAAGTGCTGTAGAGCATTTGTTTGGGAATTATGTTGTCAACAAGACAAATAACTTGGCTAGTCCAGCAAAGCCTGGGGCCATAAATGTGACATTCAATGTTAATTGTGTGTGTGTAACATATATATATATATATATATATATATATATATATATGTCTACATTTTCTAGGATGAGGTATTGTAATTTACATTGTTTGAACAATGTAAGTAGTGCATATATATATATATATATATATATATATACATTTCTATCTTACATAGAGCTCACTCAGTCCACCATCTTAGAGTTCTTCAGGCTGTGTATATTAAATTTCATCAGCTGAGCCTATGTAAGCAAAAGGAAACTTCATTAATTCCTTTTATTTGAATGAATGAATATGAGTATTTTTTTTCTATTTTATACTCTTTTTGGAACCTTTTATTTTGTTTTTTCTTATCAATTTGTTTACAATTAAAATGTATTTTAATTGTGTTCCAATTTTCCCTTCTCATTTGCTAATTACAAGTGTGTCATTGATTATTTTTTTCTATTTTCCAACGTTTAACTTTTGATAAAGTGTTGGCCAAAAGGGTCTGCTAAAGGTAAAATGACGTCCAATTTATACATATATATATATATATATATATATATATATATATATATATATGCATTTAAACATCTCTCTCCCTCTCTATATATGCAAAAATTTCAGATTTGCCTTGATAATGTCCCAGAGAGGACAAAATATGTTGGCTAGAATAAGTTTTCTTTTTATCTTTATCCCACCCCCACCACCACCACCACACACACACAGAGACAACAGTGGAAAAAGTTTTTGTATAACATGTTTCATCTTTTTAGGACTGCATCAGTTTATGTTTACATTGGTGCAACTAGACATGCACACAAACAAGAGATGCTGGGAATTCTTTTTCATTGCGGCTGCTGAAAGTAGCTATCATCAAATGACACCCCTAGATCATTTCAACAGAGGCTCCACATGGTTCTCTACAATGTTCCAGTCTCCTTAGACAATTTTCTCATTAGCCTTCTTGTATTTCACCTGAATTTTTCATCCACCTGTTTATTGAGTTTTGGTGTTCCAGAGGTGTGAGGATCTCTTGGTCTCAGTCTATCTTTGATGGAGGAAGTCTCATTGTATCAATTAAGTGTCCTTATGATAAACACTCTATTGATTCCAAGTTGTTTTCCAGTTCGAAAAATCTCAAGTGGAATGAGTCTGTTTTCATTTTATTCAATTATATACTTTCTTTTAATTTCTATAGCCATTGTTTCCAGTAAATACTAAAACACTTTAAAAAAAGAAATTGTATACATTGTTGGGCAACCATAAACAACAGTGTAATGACCAAAAATTTAAAGGTAGAATTAATTTCAAATTTTGTAACAGCATTTATGCTGCACCCTATATATAAACAGAAAATATATTAATAATTGTTGGACTTAGTCTATTTAATTGTGTGCGTATATATATATATATATATATATATATATATATATATATATATATATGATGTAATAGAATAACTTGTCACCCCCATAAGTGACTACACTATAGACAGTAACTACCTATAAGTATCAGTAAGTCACCGGACTATGGGAGTCTAGCTGGGATCTGTTGAGTACGACTCGGACTTACATGAGAACTACTGACCTTCCAATAACAGCACTCACTACTGAATTGACTTGTGACAGTTGTGAGTATAACTGTTACCTTATTTTCTTATTGTACTGGTTTTACAATAAACCTTTACTTATTTTATCCACCATGTTTGTCAAGTATATATTCCTATTAGCATAGAATATAATATACACACGCATACTAATATAAAAATCAATTTATGTTGCACAAAACATACAGCAAATATCTGTTACCTGCCAACTCAGTTCAAAATGTCTAGTTGGTATAGAATCAGCTTTCCTTGACATCTCATATGACAGCTGAAGTATAAATGACCAAAAGTGATAAAGACTGATAATACCCACAATAACAAAAAGCTTATCCCCAACATTAAAACACCATCATAAATCAGAAAATACTAGTTGTCAATAAACCTGGGACTTAGAAAAACTGTAGATTTCCTTTCAAAAAAATGTACAATATACAAATTAAGTGCAAAAACATCCAGAAAAAAAAATTCAGCTAAAAATAGCAGATATTTTTTTTGTTTAACCAAGACCTTTTTCTCTCCTGCTATATTTTATTATACATTTTTTCTCTCCTGCTATATTATATATTCTTGACAAAATTAAATCAAAAATATAGACAATTCATGTATAATATAGAAGTCCAGGTATTTCTAATCCAAATCCAAAGCATTCTCATTCCTCTTGGAGGAACACTTCTCTAGTTGACCACCACCACTTCCTATCTCTAGCCATACTGGGCCATGTGAAGCTGAGGTATCAGGTCAGATTGTTGTGCCATCTTGCCTTTGACTGCACTCTAGTTTTTTCCCCTCTCTTGGTGTCCAGTATCACTCTAATAGTCCATCTGTTGTCTCCAAGATGAAAGATGTAGCCAACCCATATATGTTTACTCTTTTTGATGGTCTCGATTATGTTCTTCACTCCAATCTGCTGTCAAATCCAGATGTTGCTCTTCCTGACACATAAGGTGATGCCAACCATGATTTGCTTCATTTTATATTGGGCTTTTACAATGGTGGTGTTGAGTGCCCATGTCTTATTTCCATAAATCATCACTGAGCAAAATATTAAACAACTTTATCTTGGCTTCGATTGTTGACTTGGGACTTCTCATGATGTTATAAAATTTTCCAAAAGCCACTTAGCCAAGCACAATTCTTTTGACCTTTGGAAGTAAGGCTCCATATCTTGCAATCTTCTTTCTCAGATACACATAACTGTCTAAATCCTTTATGGTCTTTCCATCTACAGTAACTGGTGATGGTTTAGCATGGTTGTTAAACGTGTCATTAGTTTTTCCAACATGCATGTTAAAGTCTACTGGTTGCTATTTGAACTTATTTAATATATAAATTATAGTTAAAAAAAAAAACAACACAGTATAAAGTATAGCTTTAAGATCCTTTGGACAATATCTAGAAGGAAAAAAATTGTTAGATAAAGTTCAAGAGATAAAATTGTAGACATTTTTTTTAACGTCTTATTTTCAAAATCTAAATAGTTGTTACAAATGTTTCCAGGCAACTGTTGCTTTACAGCCAGATCACATTGAAACACCGGTTTTCATACAATCACCAAAATTAAGCAATGTTGAGCCTGGTCAGTACTTAGATGGGTGACCGCTTGGGAATACCAGGTGCTGTAAGCTTGGATGTGTGGCTGGTGTAATGGATAATGGCTCTGAATTGGAAATCCAAGAGCCAAGTTCCAATTCCAGTTGGGTTTTGTTATATTCACCTACACACAAATAGCTTTGGAAAAGGTATGAATTCACCTCTCCTCCCCCTAGCTATGGGTTAATTAGTAGGACTTGTATCAATAAATTATTATTACTTGAAAAAAATTCTTACAATCTATAAATATTTTCTGGTTTTAAATAACTGTCAAAAAGGTGTGTTTTATTTTTTTTACAGTGGTGTTCACCCAGTACAAGGTCTGGGGGAGGGGGCACTTGAGGTAGAGGGTTACATTATAAGGCAGTTTATTTGAATAGGAGGGGAAGATAATGGTTAGCCCTAGACTTGAACAGGTTAAGATTGTAGTGATTGGGGAAACACCCTCTTGCTAATTTGCAACTTCACAACAAATAATGGGTAGAAGCACGTCTGATTAGTGCTAACTATATAGGATATCAATTGTCTCTGGAAGATCCAGATTTTGTGGATACATGGATTCGTTGTTTCTCTGCCACTGCGAGAACAAAAAAGTTGAAAGACAACAAGGAAAAGGGAGGCGAAAATGAAATCACGGATTTATTTTTGGCTACAGCGGATGCGAGGCAATAATGAAAGTCTCCACCATGGCATATCCCTTAAATTTGGAAGACCTGACTTTCAAAAAAATAAGTCAGATTATAAGAAGAAATATGAGACCCAAGAAAAGGCTGGTAGGCAGAAAGAACAAAATTCATGTCGATGAAACAAGAAATTGACAACCAATTATAAAATATTTACACCGTCTACGAAATGCAAGTAGATATTGTGAATTTGAAAAACTTGGACAAGACGAACAGACTATTGAAGAGGACTTGATTCAATTAAGACTAATTGAAGGTATGTCCAATGCATCACAATCGATATAAAATAATGGAACAATTACAAATAGGAAATATGTCTTTAAATACATGTATTGACTTTATGCAGCAACAAGAACTAATACAGACATACAACCATTATAAAAGTCAACCCAGCGAACAAATATTCGCTGATACGTACATGTTAAAGAAGATAAAAAAAGTGTTTGTATTGTGGACGTGAACATGAAATGAAAAGGAAAAGTGTCCAGCATTTGGAAAAACTTGTAATAATTGCTTAAAAAAGAACCACTTTCAAGCAGTGTGTAAATTAAAAAAAAAAAATGTTGAAAGAATTGAAGAAAACGACACCCAATAAGGAAGTTTTTACATTAAAAAAAAAGACTTTAAAAAGAATTGAACATAAGAAAAAAGACATTATAGTAAAGGTCAAAATTAATAACTGCAATTTAGATATGCAAATGGATACTGGGAGTGAAGTAACACTGATACCAAAAAATTTTGGGGAACACATTGGTAAGCCACCTTTACGAAAAAGCAGTTTACAACTCTGCCAATTTGATGGGTTGGTTATAAAAACATTAGGATACTTTGAAGGTTCATTAGAGTTAAAAGAAAAATTTGAAGTAATACCTATAGTTGTTACAAGTTGCAAAAAAAAACCATGGGCTTATTGGAAATGATGTGCTTAATATAAATTCTACTAAGTTAATTAATGAAATAAAAATAAAACTGGAAAGTTAAAAACTATGAAGCAAGTTTAAAAGTAAAAGAAAATGTTTCCCCCTCTTATTATGAGGCACGAAAATTACCAGTACATTTATTGCCATTAGTAGTGACAAAACAAACAATTTTACAAAAAATTAGTAGAACAAGACCTTCTTGAACATGTTCCACCTGAAGGTAGCAAGTGGGCATCACCGATTGTAGTTTTGAGGAAAACAGATGGTGATTTACATATTTGTGGAGATTACAAAATAGGAGTAAATCACAAGATATGCTCGGATTCATATCCCATACCCAATGTTGAACTTGCATTACATGCACTGGCAGGGATGTCTGTTTTTTCAAAAATAGATTTAAAAACGGCATACCTCCAAATACCTATAGACGAAAACTTCAAAGAAGTAACCACGATAAATACGCCAATAGGGTTACTAAGATGGAAAAGGATGCCATATGGAATAAAAACCACAAGCACCATATTTCAAAGGGCCATTGAACAGTTTTTAGGAAATGTACAAAATATGATTTGTTACCAAGACGACATATGCATAGGAGCTACTAATGAAAAGGAATTAAAAGAGAAAACTGACTTAGTCTTGAATAGATTAAGAAATGCTGGAATGACGATAAATGAAAAAAAATGCGTAAGCAATTCTAACAAAATATCTTTTTTAGGTTATTCCATTTCAAAAGAAGGTATATCACCAGACCAAGCCTTGATAGAAAAAATACTAAAAGTAGCTACACCTACAAATAAAAAAGAATTGGAGTCTTTTTTGGGATTGGTAAATTTTTACAGGCGATACTTACCAAAATACACGGACTTGACGGAACCGTTTGCAAATTTAAGAAAAAAGAATGTGGAATTTATGTGGTCAGACGAACAGCAAAAAGCTTTTGAAAGATTAAAAGAAATTATGTCAAAGAAACCTGTAGTGAAAATTTTTGATCCAAAAAAGGACATAACACTCACTACAGATGCAAGTGAACATTCAATATCAGGAATATTATCACAAGAAGGACATCCGATAATGTATTTGTCGAGAAGATTAACAAACACTGAATTTAATTACTCAAACATAGAGAAAGAAGCATTGGCTATCGTGTGGACAACTACCAGAGCCCGACAATTTTTAATTGGGAAAAAATTTTTATTAAGAAGTGATCATAGACCATTAGAGTTTATATTTAACCCAAGGAAAGAATTACCCAAAGTCATGACATCAAGGATTCTACGATGGGCGATAAGATTGATGGCATTTGGCTTTGATATAGAGTATGTCAAAGGAAATTCAATTCCACATGTGGACGCACTATCAAGATTGAGGTTCTACAAGGAGTCAAAAGACAAAACATAGGAAGAATTTGAAGATTCATTCCTACACTTGATAGAGACTGATGTTTTGTCTTTAGACAGAATGGCTGTGGAAACAAGACATGATCTGGTGCTAAGTAGGATTCTATCGAGAATAAGGAAAAACTTGTGGGGAAATTGTTCTAGGGCGGAAAGACCCTATAAAGAAATAAGACACAAATTAACAATAGAACATGGAGTGATTTGCAATGGGGACCTGGTAGTTCCCTCAGAAACACAAAGAAAACCGATAATAGAAAGTGTACATAATGATATACACTGTGGAGTAGCAGCCACACAAAAAAGGATAAAATTAGAAGCTTGGTGGCCGGGATATTCAAGAGACATTGAGGAATATGTAAAAAGGTGTAAAAAAATGTAAAGAATTAAGAAACTTTACACAAACCAAATTACATTCGTAGCCCAAAGAAGTGGAGCCATGGAGTCGTGTGCATATGGATCATGCATACATTAATGGAGTGGGACTCTTATTAATATTAGTAGACTCCTTTTCAGGTTGGCCTGAAATAATCCGGGTTACAAACAAGAAAAGTTCTACTATAAAGCAGATTCTAAGAGTCATATTTTCTAGAAATGGTGTACCAAAAACCTTGGTATCTGATAATGCACCAGAATTTTGTGAGGAAGAACTTAACGTATGGTTAGAAAAAATAGGGTGTAAACCATATAAGACACCTCCATATCACCCTCAATCAAACGGATTAGCAGAAAGAATGGTACAGACCGTAAAAAGGGGGCTAAAAGCATGCTCTCAGCAAAAAGAAAAAGTAGAAGTTTTTCTACCGAGGCTGCTTTTAAGTTATCGTACGATACCACATGCGGGAAGACTAGAAAGCCCATCAGCTTTAATGGGAAGACAGATTAGAGCTCCGCTAACAATGTCATATTCTACAAATGAAAAAATGTGGTACAAAAAGAGCAAAGATGCAGATCCGGAAGGAGCCAAATTTATAATGCAAAAAGGCCACAATACAGCCATAATAAATAGAGAAAATGGCGATAGTGTGTTAGCCCATGCAGACCAAATAAGGACCCAGGGTGAAGAGGAAGAACAAAACGACGAAGAAATGTCTTCAATTCCATCTGATAACGAGTTGGTAGAACAACCATTACAGAAGGAAACGTCAGAAGAGGAAACAATGCAGGATGAAGAGGGCCAGAAGGAGTCTGAAAGTTCGGACGAAGACCAGATTATGCAAGAAAACACATATGACTACAGCCTAGCCCGGGACAGATCGAGGTCTCCCAGGGAAAGAAATACGGGAGAGAGAGAGAAATAGAGCAAAGTGATGAAAATAGCAGGAGAAGGAGTACAAGATCTACGAGAGGAATAAAACCCTTAAGGTTCAGGGAGATGTAGTGATACTAGCAAATTAGTATGCATAATTTGCATAAGCATAAGTGAACACTCATATAAGTGGTCACTGGAATAACGAGGTAGAAGTACAAGCTTAGTGGCTGATTAGTGCTAACTTAGGCCTGATCTGACTCTTGTAAAAGTAGAGGATAGCACGAGGAGTCAGGTACTTACTGGAGTGGTACAGGGAACTGACCATTTTTCCAGCATCTTTTGTGATGGATCATATGTGCAAGTTCCATTTGCGGTCAGGAGTGAGTTTAAGGCCCAATAGTCTCTCAAGCCATGAAGCCTCCCTGAGGGAACATCCATTCATCATGATAGTTCAGGGTCTGATTGGCAATGATGGAATGTAACCAGTTTGGTTTTTGAGGCATTAAATGTAACCAGCCAGTTTTTATAAATCACTGAGAAGTTAGAGCTAGATTGAATAAGAGATCAGCTGCCAATCTCTGATCATCACAAGCTTTGAAGGTGCACCTGTATATTGTATCATCAGCATAGATATTCACAAATGATCCGAGTATATTCTTAGGCAGATCATTTATGTAAAGTAAAAAGAGGTTTGGTCCGAGAAGTGACCCTTGTGTTGATTGCTAGAGTACCAGAGAACTAACCATTAACAGCTTACCTTCAGGGACCTACCAGTTAGGAA